ACAGAGCACACTGGATACAACCGCCTAAAAACTAATCAGTTGTGTTTCTCCCTTTTCAGAGTCCCTTACCCATAAGATGGATGGCTATTGAGTCACTCTCCTACTCAATTTACACAATACAAAGTGATGTCTGGTCGTTTGGAATAACTATGCACGAAATAATCACACTTGGTTAGTCTACTGAGTTTGACATAACTATGGTAGATATATTTATCCCAAATATCACGCTTCTTCAATATTTCGGCGTATTTTTATGGCTACCAAAAGCTGTGAAAAATAGAATAAATGGGATTTTCAATTCATTATCGTGTGATATCATATTTATTAAACTCGTGTAGTAAATGGAACATAGAAGCATTACAACACTCGTTCAATAAATTTAATATCGCTCGGTCACTCACTAGAAGATTCTCGTTGTGTTCGATATTATGATTCAAAATGAAACCTAATATCCAATCCCGTTGAGCAATCTGTAGACATGCAATTCACTATCGCTACAAAATGATTGGTTTGTTATTTTATTAGTATGATATAACATTGTAATGAATTTTATCAGTTTTGTAATAACACTAAACACAGCGTAGACAGTGTGTCGTTGAATGATGTAAGAGCTACTGACTGTACCCTTTTTATAATATGGAACTTCCCCTGCTTACTGGAAAAGCTGATTGCTGTGAAAAGATAACAAACAGCTTAGAATTGTAGAAATGCATTTATATTTATACTCATACACGGAAAGTATTAAAGGTATAATATGCAAACAATAAATTATTGGTCATCAAACCAAAACAAAACAGCTAGGGGATACTGTCACACATATCAAAAATGAATAGGGGAATATAGTGCACTTTTTATAATACGGCAATCCCATTGTCACCAATCTTTTCTTGACTCCCAAACTGTTTTTGAGAACCATTTTTGGGCTGTGACTTTGGCGCGACGGAGCACGTTTGCCCTGATCACGAGTTCGAACCTCGTGTTTGCTGTTATAATTTATGTCTCTTCATGTGATTACATTTCTAGGTTCCACCCCATATTGCAATTTAACATCATCTGAAGTTATTCGGAAGTTGAATGAAGGATACAGATTACAGAAGCCTGATCACTGCGATCGTGACATGTAAGAATAAACATTTAGGATTTAACTGCAAAACCCACTTATTTTGCTTACAACAACACTGTAATTAATTCATATTCATTCGTCATTTTATTTAGTTACATCCTCATGAAACGTTGCTGGGATGACATACCAACAGAAATACCTACGTTTTCGGACATATTTAATCAGTTACACAGAATAATGAACGACGAATCCAAGGTATAGTATTTTTTTGAGCAGATACAATATTATGTGATTAAATATGTTAGTGCTCTTCAACAGTCTATTGTAGTCGGTATCAATGTTATTTCTCCGATGTAGACACCAGTTTTCTTACAGAACTCTGAGTGATACGTGGCGGGGCTCACTTTTTTTCGAAACAAATGCCAGCGTCTCTTTGTTGTATTCCTTAGGCCATGTAACATTCGTTCACTTATTTTAGCATGTCTTTTATAGTTTTCTGTGTGTACTGTGGTTGTAGTTTTATGACTTTCGTTTTATGATCTGTGGTTGAGTTGAAATTTTATTTATGATACAATTTAATTCTTTCTTATAAGGTGCCTGGAGTGTAAGCGAGTTTTCATAAACAAATGTGTTTTTTTTATTCCAGTTGTACCTAAAAATGAATAAGTATGATCAACATTTGTATGTCAATTTGGATAAGAATGATTGCTTACCAGGTGAGAGAATATGACGGTTACAGTAGTTATCACGCAGAGGCGGCGGCACCAAATTTTACATGCAGGGGCGAGATCTGCTCACCAACCTCGCGCCAAAGGCGAGATCTGTTCCCCTTAAAAATTTTGAAATCCAGACCCTCTGAAACGCTATTTTCTGCATTTTGAGGGGCAAATTTTGCTGACATAAAGTGTTTCAGTTTAATTTTGGAGGGGCAACGCCCCCTCCCCACATTTGTTCAGGGGCGACCCCCCCCCCTGCCACCCCTGTGCCGCCACCACTGTCACGTGTACCATTGGTGTAAGCGTTACACATTTTGAATTTATGCTAATTTAAACGGAATCCACTTAAACCCACATAATGTGATTGTTTTAAACGTGTTATTAGAATAGTGTAAACATGTGTGACTGTACTATTTTATTTATGTGTTACAGTGAATTTATACAGATTTGATTTTGTACAGATATATATTATTTGTTATTTATCTCGATATATTGAACTATCATTAAGATTTAATTAAAATTAATTCTCATTTGAGTGATTGAAGTATGTACATATCTCCCACTTTATTATTTTATTGTATGCAACTGATACTATGTCATGTATGGTTTTGGAAGATTGTGGAAGAGACCCTCCGTTTTGCTACTATTCAAAGCGATGTTTGAACTATTTGCTGAAGGCCTATTTAACTTTGGCAGAGAGAAGTACTTTAAATTTAATTAACATGAATCCCCCTTTGGCTAGTGAAGTTGGAAGACACCTTGGTGTTGACAGACAACTCAAAATTTGTAACCTGTGTTTGGATGAAGACAATGCCCAAAACTCAGTACACTTAGATGTACATTTCTTCTACAGTATTTCCAGAACAACACATCTAACACACTATCAGACAATGGGAGTGACATTGAAGGTGTTGCATCTTTTAAAAGAGCAATTGTAATTTCATTATTTTTTTCCACTTTACGCACATGTTGTTTATTTGGGAAACTTTATATTGGTTCTACATCATGATTAACTACACTTGAATTGAATGGACTGGACTATAATATAATGTATTTTAAAACCAGACCTTGTGAATGTTAGAACATTAGAAAACTTTTAATCGTATTATATTGTGAATGTACTTATTTGTATAATTTTTAATATTCTCATGTATCCAGATATCTTGATATGGCTA